GGATTTTTAGCTTTCCAATGGCCCACCTACTACTGAACTGCTCAACTGCAAAGTGCTGTTCCATTGAAAAACATCATCAAAACTAAGGGTAAAATTGTGATATTTCATTGAATTCTCTTTTTTTTTTTTGATTATTTTAAAATTTCCCCAATTTTAACTTTTTTCCATTAACGGGTTCTTGTTGGAAATTTTTGGCTTCTTCTTTGCACTTTTGCCCCCTTCCTTGGTTCGTTTTTACCAGGCGTTCAGTTTTCAAAGTTTCAAAACTTTTTCGTTTGGCTTGGCTTTACTTGCGGGTTTTTTTTCCCCGGACCGGCCGGGCGGCAATTCGGAAACCAATTTATTCAATTTTTAGTTGTGAAATTTTTTTTCTTTTTTGGTTTTTTTGTTTTTTTTTTTTTTTTTTTTTTTTTTTTTGTAAAAATAAATGATCAAAAAATATCAACTTGTTTATTAGGTAAGACATTTATCAATTTGTTACGCTACACAAAAGATAAAAGAGTTCTCTCTGCTTCTAGCCTTGGTTGTGCTGTTTCCATAAAGAAGCAGGACTTTTATAGCAGTAAAAAAATGAGCCCACAGTGGGTAAAAATGTGATAGGAGCAAAAAAAGAAGACAAGCAGAAACTGCCTTAAGTTCAGAGAGTTAGGTCACAACATCTGTTCTAGGTCAACATTGTATATGTTGCAAACAGACTCATTTACAAATTAAATACATATGTGTATGCTTGGTAGCATGCTCCTGCTATGACTGTACTCTATACAGATGGTGATAACTAATATTTATTTACTCTTTACTCTTACCTTAAACCTCAAACATGGAAGACAAGATATAAACAGAAAATCTTTACTCTTACACCCAGTATAGTCTAATTAGGGTCTGATTTGATAACACAGTAGCATTATCACTGACATGTAATCAGTGACTGGGACTGACTGCAGCACTGATGTGTGTGAGGGATGGGATGGTCAAAAGGTGCAGTTCAGTGGCAGGGTTGTGGGTTGTGTGGACTTTTCTGTGCTAGTTGAATTTAAAAGTGAGTGGCTTCAGGCACACAAACACAGAGCAAAAGGTCTAGGAACTAAAAGAAAAAGGGGTTTATGAATGACAGCACAGCTCTTAGTCATCATTACTCCTGAAATGGATACAAGTGGTACATATTGTGTAATCCACTTACACGTCCAGCTCACTGCTAAACAATTTAAAACTGAAAGAGGCCAGGCCTGATGGGGGCATTATAAAAAGGTAATGTAGCTGACTTATAGAGTTGGCTTGGCTACATGTGAACTGAACCTACTGTATATACAGATGCAATGAGTGGATAAAGTGCTGCCTTTTTGACCACATGCCTTGTTGCATTCTGTTTTGTCTGCGAATCTTAATTGAAGTGAGACTACTGTAAAATGTACTCATGGTGTTTGATATATGTAAACACCATGGCACTACAAATTTTACAATGAAATATGTTTTTATATTGTTGGTACCTTTTCATTATGTGGCTTCCTTACAACCACTGTTGCACTAAGTAGTCACATGAAGCTGGTTGTCAACTTTTGACGTCCATGCAGGGTCTTTAAGTCTCGCTATGAGCACATTCGCATAAACGTTCATGAAAGTTCTAGATGCCATTTTACAAGAGAAGTGATTGATCAGTAGGCAGTGATTTTATCTCGAACATAATCCACTTTGGAGCAGGAAAAGTATGCAGTTTATGGTACCATGTCAGTGTACCGTAGTAATAAATGAGCTACCAATGCAGTCCTGAAAGGCTGGTGTTTAACCTGAAGTTACCTCACTAATCCTAACCCTTCCTTTATTGTACACACCTCAGCTCCTTCTAATTCAAAGGAAATCTTCTTCTCGTGTCAGAAGTCGGTTCCACTGTCCCTCTCCGTTGCGCTGATCACAGATGG